TTTTTTAATATATTAGACGACGTTTATAAATGTTTACATGAAAAATATTAAAACAAATCATAATCAATACAATGGAAGACCTTCTCTGTATACAACGTGTGATTTGAGCGGCGGTAGCAACCTGAAATCCACAAGCTTGCCTTTAGCGATGTGACATGCATGTGGAATCCATGTGGATTTCAGATTGCTACCGCCGCTCGGTGTCGCTCGGCGTTTACTGTGTTTTCTCATATTTCAAAGAACTGAATTATAAAGTTAAAATTATTTATGTCAAATATATAATTGAGCTTTAGATTTATAGCTAGAATTAAATTTAAAATCCGAATTATTAACTTCCCGTAGGGTAAGTTATTGTAATGGGCCGAAAATCGGAATTGAAAATTTTTACATTTCTCGACGTTTTGAAGGTTTCTGAACATTTTGGCATACTTCAGAAAAAATGGATGTGTGTGTGTGTGTGTGTGTATGTATGTATGTATGGATACAAACTTTCGCCCACGTTTTCGGCCGTACGATACGTTCAACCGATTTGAATGGTTCAAAAAACATTCGATTTCTATTGATAGGGAAAAGAGTTGATTAGTTTTTGGCAATGGCAGGTCCAGCCGTTTCGGAGATACGTAGCAAAGAGTGCAGAAAATAGAAATCGAATTTTTGAGAGAACGGAGTATCCGATTTGAATGATCTAAAAAAAACATTCAATTAGTAATGATTGGGAGAAGTGTTTATTAGTTTTTGGCAAAGGCAGGCCCAGACATTTTGAAGATACGGAGCTAAATATGTAAAAAATGGCAGTTTTTGAGAGAACTAAGCGCCCGATTTAAATGATTCAAAAAACTTTTCTGCTTGTCTTAACAAAATAATTGATTTTGGAAAAAAAAATTGTTCCAATTTTTTTTTTTAGTTTATTTAGTTTTTTGTATATCGAAAATATTTCAGATTTTATTTTTAATTCTGACTATAGTTCTAATATACTTTACAAATAATTTCAATTCAGTTTATATAATTCTTATAAATATTACACAATGTTACAATATTTATAATAATCTATTTGAAAACATTCAGTATTCCTCGAACATTTCGTTACGGTACGGGAAGTTCCAGCAATTTGCCTTAAGGCACGATGCCATAATTGCCTCAAGACAGAATTCCACTTACAGCTAGTTTTCAAAAAGCACCTAATTGACTCCATTCTTCATTATCTCTAATTCATCATCGAAATTTACCCATTATCTCATTAGACATGATCCCTCAGATATAGTAGTCTAATTTCAAATAATTCTCAACCGCCCCAAAAATCACTTTCGTCTCTGTTTAGTGGTGTGCTGGTGTGGGTTACGGCTAGACTGTGTCTACCTTTTATTCGGCATATCTGTGTATACAAAAAATATAGTCTTGTTCGTAAATTTCGACGAAATTTACGTATACATTTGAAGATACTCCATTCAAGGACGTCTGCAGGAATAGATGTGTGTCTGTGATGCAGTACAAGTAGAACGTTTCGTTGTGGGAGTGAAAAACGTGGTGTATTATCGATAGAACTTGCCTGCAACTATGTACATGGGATATATGAAATATACTTGAATACTTTTGGTGAAAATATTTCTAGTTTCTTCAAATTTGATTCATTTATGCTTAATCGTTTTTTGGAGACCTTAATTTTCTTTTTTTTTTATCTTGAAATTCTTTGAATATTTAAGCAGCATTTATGGAATTAAAAACTAGTGATGCTTGGCATCGTTGCTTAAGACAAATTGCTGGAACTTCCCGTACCATAATTTAGGATTTTTAAAAGCTTTACAATTTTTTGAAAGCTTTGAAGATTCGGTTTTTGAACGCCGTGGTCTAACGATTAATTATTATAAATCTTGGTACAGAACCGAAAGAAATGCAAACAAAATTTGTACTTATATAAAATCCCTATAAAATATCTGATAATTTGATGCGCATAATATTTTAATTTTTCTACTTTTTTAACTTCCCGTAGGGTAAGTTATAGTAATCGCAAAAAAAGCGAAAATATTTTTTTTATATCTTTGGCATACATTAGAAAAAATGCATGTTTGTGTGCGTGTGCAGATACAATTTTTCGCCGACGATTTCGGGAACCGATTTCAATAATTTAAAAAACATTCAATTCGTATTGATAAGGAGACGAGCTGATTAGTTTTTGGCGAAGGCAGGTCTAGCCGTTCCGAAGATACGGTGCAAAAAGTGCCAAAACCGTAACTCAGATGTCAAGAAAACGGAGCGTCGGCTTTTAATAATTCAAAAAACATTTTATTTGCATTGACAAGATGAAGAACTGATTACATTTTTGGGAAGGCAGGTCCAGCGATTATGGGCTCTCAATAAAAATCGGTTAAAAAAATGTCATTTGGCGGTCAAAAATGTTTATTGGACATATGTACATCAGATATTTTATAGAGATTTTAATAATCTGCACACATTTTGTCAATTTTTTTGGGTTCCGTATCAAGATTTTTAATTACGGTACGGGATGTTCCAGCAAGTTCCTTAGAAATGAAAACAAAACTTGTACTTTTTATATAAAATATGTTAATTTGATGTGAATATGTCTAATTTGACGGCAAAATAGCATTTCTTTTTACTTTTTTATTATATTTTGTAAACCACTAAAGCTACCTTTGTAATGTATGTGCTGATACAATTTTTTTGTCCATTTCGAGAGCACGGATCATCCGACTTGAGTGATTAAAAAAACATTCGATTCCTATTGATAGGGAGACGTGCTGATTACTTTTGACAAAGGCAGGTCCAGCCGTTTCGAAGATTCGGGACAAAATGCCAAAAAATGGCTATTCAGTTTTTGAGAGAACATAGCGTTCGATTTGAATGATTCAACAAACATTACACTTGACTTGTATTAAAGGAATAAAGAATTGATTGCATTTTTGGAAAGGCATGTCCAGCGGTTTTGGACATCCAATAAAAAAAGTTTTGAAAAATGCACTAGACATATGCACATCAAGATCAGATATTTTATAAAGATTTTTATCAAGTACAAATTTTTATTGATGGTCCCAAAAATCAAGTTTCAAAAAAAAATTTCAAATTTTCAAAAAAAATTAAAACTTTTAAAAATCCTAAATTATATGGTATTGGCAATTTGACTTAAGGCGATGCCATGCTCCGCCAATTTTATAATTTTTTTTAAATTTTATAAATTAGCTCCTATATATATAAAATATTTTAACTTAAAAAAATGCAAATGTTATATGTAAATATATATTTGTGTGTGTGTGTGTGCGTGTGTGTAATTCTTCAGAACAATTTTTCATCTGACCATATGGCAACATGGGTTATATAATGCGTTTTTGTCCCATACACTTCGGGTACAACCTTTTCAAAAAGATTTTAATATGTTCCTGGAACTATGTATTTAAAATGCTTAAAATTTTCGGAAATTTTACCTGCTGTTTGAGAATCGCTCTCCGCCCATATGGTGGGGAGAATGGTTTGGAAGCCAGCACGTGTAAAGAAGCTTCAGTTCACAGAATTTTCCCGATGCGATAGTCTTCATTAGTGTCGAACGGGATCACTAAAATTCGCAAATAATTTATAAAAACAGTTAACTAGTTCATATTATTCTACTGGTGCTTACGGTAAAAAGTGTTTATTTATATCTAGTTGTATTTGTGTAAAATTATCAAGTTTTTTGACAAAATTCATATGCGTTTTACTTTAAGTGCGCTACAATTGTGAGGCGAATGCCTTTGACCTTACATGAATTTATATATAGAATTCTTGTGAGAAAGTCTTAGCTAGTTTTTAGTGTAAAATTTATTTTGCGTTGCCATTGACATTGACATTTGTCGGTCATTAACTTTATCATTATATATTTAATATATCCAGTAAATGATACCGAATCATTCATTCCTATTCAAATTACATATTCATATTATTTATAAGTGACGATTATTGGAATCCTCTTTCATGACTTATGTATAAAGGATTTAATCTAATTAAATGACGTTTCTAGCATAGCACATGGTCTAAAATTACAGATAAGTGCTTATCAATTTAGAAGATAAAATGTTTGTTCATTGTATTCAATATTAATTTCAAACTACGTAAATGACTAATATAGAATAAAAAGTAGGTGAAACATTTATTCAAATTACTAGGCCATGAAATTTTTTGCGTTACTTACCACAAATGCACTGACAAAAGTAGAAAGATTAAGTTGATTGTAATCATAAAATTACTAGGATTTTATAGTTTGAAAGAATTTCTGGTAAAATTTTGTTCTGTGAATATTTCCAAATATATACGATGCTTTAGTATAAAATTAGTGGGAACATATTGTTAATAGTTAAAGTTATATAAATCGCAAACTTTAGCTTTTATCTAATTTATCACATTTTAACTATATTGTATATACAGTAGAACCTCGTTTATCCGGACCTCAGTTATAAGGATTCGCGATTATCCGGACTACCAATCGCGACCAATTCATATGTATGTACGAATTTTTGCATGATTAATGCTGCAGTTTAGTATATCTATATAATCTAAAAAAAATATCCTTGTGTATACATAAGGAAGAGTTAATTTCCCTATATTTTTAATAAATATACAACATTATTCTTCATATATTTGATTATCCGGATTTTCGATTATCCGAACGTCGTCTCACAACAACAATTAGTCCGGTTAATCGAGTTTCTACTGTAGCTCAATATGTGTATTTAAATTCGTAAACAATCCATTATCCCATAAAACGCAGTGTCCAGTGGCGTCGGAACCAAATTTTTGATGGGTGGGCTCGTTTTGTTTTTTTTGGTAGACAGCCAGTGGGCTCGTTTTTTTAGAGATATTAGCTCATATAATTTTTTGAAATTGATGGGTGGGCTGAGCCCCCCCATCAAAATTCATGGGTGGGCTCAAGCCCACACGGTTCCGACGCCACTGGCAGTGTCTATTACAAGCTATTCTTCCTTTTTTATGTCGTATTAATTTTATTTTCTTTCTTTTAGCCCCAAACGGAGGCCGTAACTGCACCAGTCACAATAATTTCAGAACGGACGTTGGTGCACGTCGAAGATTCTGTAACAATTAATCAGAAGCCCGAAACTGCAACAGTAACTAAAACGATCAGATTACAGAAGACAGAAACTTGCAAAACGCCAAGATATCTTGCAAAGTGCAAGAACTGGAAGGAGCATTTAGGAACAATATTTTTTGTGTACAAGAGACGCAGCCCCTGAGGCAGCGAAACGGCTTGACCATAACCGCCGGGTGCTTTGAGAAGACGACCCAAAAGCAGGGCCAACAACCCGACAAGACGGAGTGCCCCAGGTAAATAGGAAAAAATTACACATGATAATTGACTGTAGATAGGGAAGATTCCATAAAACTTTTTTTACCTTGATAGCTCTCTCATTTGATATTCAAAAACCATAATTTAGTGATCAACTTCTCATTTTATTTGTAAAATTTTATGATGCATTTCTAATTTCACAAAGAGATGTTTTTTTTTATTTATTTATTTATTGATATATTTTCATATCTGCCAGGCAGGGGGTGTCTGGTATGAGAGATCATGAAACAATTTTCATATTTTATATATACATATCATTTGTCTATTTCATTATACAATAATATAATATTTATAATCTTTTCGTCTTCAACTTCATATTTTTAACTTCCCGTAGAGCAAGTTGTAGTAATCGCAAAAAAATCGAAAATGAAAAATTTTATATATCTTTACGTTTCAGAGGTTTCTGAACATTTTGGCATACCTTAGAAAAAATGGATGGATGTGTGTGTGTGTGTATGTGCGTGTGTGTATGTATGTGCGGATACAAATTTTCGTCGACGATTTCGGGAAACACGGATCATCCGATTTAAATAATTCAAAAAACATTCGATTCGTATTGATAAGGAGACGTGCTGACTTGGCGAAGGCAGATCTAGCCGTTCCGAAGATACGGGGCAAAAAGTGCCGAAACGGTAACTCAGTTTTTAAGAGAACAGAGCGTCCGATTTGAATAATTCAAAAAACATTTTATTTGTATTGACTAAATGAAGAACTGTTCAAAATTTTGGAAAGGCAGGTCCAACGACTTCGGAGATATGGAGGAAAAAATAAAAAAATGAGCCATTTGGCGGTCAAAAATGATCATTAGACATATGCACATCAAATTATCAGATATTTTATAGAGATTTTAACAATAAGTATAAATTTTGTTTACATTCCCATGGGTTCCGTACCAATGTTTACACGTTAGACGGCGATGCGGCGCTTACGCGCTTTGATATTTCGTCTTTATGCAGTGAAAGCAGTACGATTGCTTTGAAAAAACCTTCAGAATTTCCAAAATATGTCAAAATGAAAAAATTTTTTTTTAAAAGTAATTTTTAAAAATCTAATTTTTTCAAAGTAAATTTTTTTCAAAAATGTTAATCATTTTTAAAAAAATAATAATTTTTGGTACGGGAAGTTTCAGCAATTTGCCTTAAGGCACGATGCTCTAATAGCCTTAAGACAAATTCCACTTACAGCTAGTTATATTATTATATTATTTTTAGGCAAGCGGGGCCAGTAGCTCGTGTTTCGGGGAGCGCCCCCCCCGCTAAGCGACGCTGGGTCCCACCATCGACTTTACTAAGGCATCGAGATGCTCTCAATCCAGAGGCAAGGAATGATCTCATCTTCCGCAAGGTAAATCAAATCATTTAGTTAAGGGATTTTTTACTTAATATTTAATTATTGTCTGGGACTGATCATGACAGTGTTAATATTCTTTATTAGTTGCTAAGACTTTATTTCTGGTTTGATCATGAAATGAATATTTCAATAGGTACGAGGCATTCTTAACAACTCACACCGGAAAAATTCCAGAAGCTAAGTGATGATCTGCTTCGTACTGAACTAGATTCGAAAGTTATTTTACATGGTGTAATTCTACTCATTTTTGAAAAGGCGCTGGAGGAGCCTAAGTATAGGTAATTTAAGTTAAATTTTAATATTCCTTTTTTATTATTTTTATTTTATTGTTCCTCCTGTGAGAACTTTAATTTCTACTAATCAACATGGATTCATGCCTGCCCGTTCTACGATAACAAATTTAATATGTATTAAACAAATATATAGCTGAGAATCTTGACACTAATGGACAAGTTGATGTTATTTACACTGATTCAGTAAAGCTTTTGACAAAATTGATCATAACATTCTTCTTACTAAATTATCTAAGATTGGTCTTAATTCTTCACTTATTTATTTTTTTAAGAGTTATCTTCATAAGCGTAAACAGTTTATCTTAATGGATTCTTGAGCAACATTGAAAATATCAGTTCGGGTGTTCCTCAAGGATCCATTCTCAGTCCACTACTATTTATTATTTTTATTAATGACATTTCTGATATTATTAGCTGTCCACATTTATTATTTGCAGATGATCTCAACTATGTCTCAAAATAAATTCTATTGATGACTGCTTATTATTACAGTCTCAACTTGACTCTTTCCACTCTTGGTGTATCTATAATAAATTACATTTAAATATATCAAAGTGCAAGATTCTCAGTTTTTTACATAAGCGCGTTCCAATACTTTTTGATTATAAATTTCTAACACCAGCATTGATAGATGTAATAAAATTTTAGATTTAAGAGTTCTATTTGATTCTGGTTTGTTTTCACGTATCATATAACTGATATTTGTAATAGAGCACACAAATCTTTAGGTTTGATACTGAGAAATTGTAAACAATTTAAATTTACCATGCGCTTCCCTTGCCTCGCGTCGATTTATCTGTACAATTATGTTCTTATTCAAACTTTGCTATAATTCTATAGACTGTCCTCTATTCTTAGTCAACTATCCTTTAATGTTCCAAGGCTATCTATGCGTTCACAATTATTTTCAATTATTCTACTCCTAAATCTAATGCTCTCTTAAATTCGCCTATTCTACTTATGTCCTCTAACTTTAACTTAATTAATAATGAAATAGATATTCACAACACTTCACCTAATCAAATAATCTCCATCTGCACAAGCTAACCTTTTTATTTTCATTTCAAATATCTCATTATTTTATCTTATTCTGTTTATAAATAATATTGTTACATTCTGCATATGTAATTTTATGTAAGCATTTTATGTTAATAACTATATATTGTAATTTTGTATATATTTAAATTGTAATTCATTATGTAAAATAACTGTATTTTGAGTCCTCTTGGAGTAATCTGGGCTATATATTTAAATAAATAAATAAATAAAATATATAAAATTTTCTGATACAACATTTATATTTGTAATATAGCATATTTTTCAATGATATTGTGATACCAAGCTACATGATGCTGAAGTTTATTATCTTATTATTATCTTCAGAATATCTTATTCTTGTTATTTTATAGTTCTATGTATGCACATCTCTGTGAGCGCCTATCCAAAGAAGCACCAAATTTTGAAAGAGAATCAACCCCTTGCACATTTAAGTTTTATTATTAAATAAGTGCCGCGCTGAATTTGAAAACAGATCTGCGGCAAGTGAAGCATTTAATGAATATGGAGGAAAACTGTCCCCTGAGGATGAGGAACGTAAGCACCTCGCCAAGCGCAAAATGCTCGGAAATATCAAGGTAATAAAAAGAAATACTGTGATTTTGATCACTGAATTCACTTGTTTTTATTTATTTAATGACATATTTATGTTCATATATTTTGAATATATCCTAAACTATTTATCAATTTCTTTTAGTTTATTGGTGAGTTGGGTAAGTTGGAATTCTATATCGAAAGCATTCTACATCGCTGCATTCAGCAACTACTGCAACAACAAAAAACAGCACCCTCGTAGACCACAAACATCATCGGCACAATCTCAACAACAACAAACTTCACAATATTGCAGTGAAGATCTCGAGTGCCTGGCCAAATTACGTGCGCACCCCTGTGGCAAGATCCTCGACAATGACAAGTATGTTGCCACATTACAATACAATATCATTATTCAAATACAGTAATACTC